CTGGTATATGTGACTAAAGTCTTTCAGGCCTTCCATGAGACTGAAGTTTTTGAAAAGATGTAGATTTCATATGAGGCTGATAGGTTTTTGAGTCTTATTATTGTCTTTTTTGACATTCTTGATGTCTGTATATATTCCAAGCAGTGGGATATTGTGACTTATTTTCTAGTACTAAAACTGATCAGGACCTGTGTAATCTTATTTATGATATCATAGTCAGACGGTAAGTTTTCTATAGATTGTTTATGTATAAGTTTGCATGTGACTAATTAGAATGCATCCTTGTACAATGTAATCTATAATACAAATACTGTTCTGAAGTGGAATTGAATCAGTAACTTATAAATAGTGATTTGAAAGCATACCCACTGTACTATTGATTCACAGGTTAAAACTAAATTATATATATTAGTGTAATCTCTCATTTCTTATATATTATAAATATAGATCTATAGGTCAATAGTATAGTAGTTAGCACTCCATAGATCAAATCACAAGATATAGGTTCAAATCTTTTAGGGAGCTAATAAGATTTCCCTGATTAAAAAAAGTAGATAAAATTTGACAAATCATTTATTGATCTAATTATATCTAACCAATATTTTTTAGTATAGCTGATGTAGATCAAGATGATTGATAGTTTTTATTGATTCTTATTGAAAATCAAACTCTTCATAATATAGGATAGTTTATATAAAGATTGTAGTTAGGTCACTATCTAAAATCAAGTAAGATTATCCTTAATAGAATTATATTACTACCTGCTAATAACAAGAAAAGTAGATTTCTAAACTGATCATAAGTTACCAAGGAAGAATTTATTGAAGATCTTATCTAATCTTAAAACTTCAAGCATGTAGCTGTAGCTATACCTGACTCATAAATCTAATAATTAGGAGGCTTTAATGAGAAAAAAAATATAAGATTATTCTAAAGAACTAAAATTCAAGTCCATCATAAAAAAAATTTAATAGCTTAATAATCAAACTACTCTTAATAAAACTGATTTAGAAAAAATTAAGAAAGAATCATACAGTTTTAGATAAGACAATACTTATACTGTATATAGTTAGTAAATATATATAGTATATAGCTACTCATATATATATGTATATTACTAATATAAGTAGATATATAAGTACTTGTTAGTATATACATTGTCTATCTATATATAAAGAGTAATATAAGTAGTTGAGTCAAAACAATTGCTTTATATAAATTTATAGATATATTATTATAAAAATTGTATAATGAATTTATGAATCAATGAATTACAAATTAAATAGATAACTTTTATATATTTGAAATTTCTTTTAGCACTAGTTCAGCCTTGACAGGTTAACTCTCTACTTAGGGGCAATAACAAGTTATAAAATGAGTATCTTTATAATAGAAGAATTCTATTGAGTTTTATTTGATAGTAAATAGGTAGTATATTCTAGAATAGTTTTTATATATGAATACTACATAATTATAAATAAAGCAAAATTTAGTCAACATTTAAAAAATATATATTATAAATATAAGAATATATAAAAAATAGTATTATAAATTATATATATAGCTGATAGATTCAAAATAAGTATTTTTCTAATATCAAAAAATAAATTTGAAGTTGTTAAAACCTTTAAAAATTTTTTATAATAGTTAATTGAATCTTTTTACTTATTTAAAGTTTTTATAATATAATAATATAATAATATAATAAAATTTAAAAAATCAATAATTTAGTTAATGCATGAATATGAAGTAATAATTTAAAGAATAAATGTATTTAGTTCTTAAATACTAGCCCTGCTTAAATACTTTAATAAAACTTTGATGAAAATACTATATAAAATCCAATATGTTAATAAAAATATAACTTCAAATCCTAAATTAATAAAAAAACAAATTAAGTATTTATTAGAAATTATTAATTGCTAAAATTATTATTTGATATATTTTATTTAAGCTTAAAATTTATCAAAATAGAATTTAACTTTAATAAAACCTATCAAATTGAAATAAGTAAAATCTAAGTTATTTACAAAGTATAAATGGTTTGTTAAAAAACATGAAGCGAATAGATTAAATAAAGGTAATATAGTTTGTTATATTCTTAATACAAAATAAGAATGAGATATAGAAAGTTAAAAAAAAGTTATTAATTTTATATTTAATTTAAATCTTCATAAAATTTAAAAAATTATAGCAATAAAAAATAAATTAATTTTATATTATTTTAAAAGTAATAAGTTTATATCAAAATAAAAATTTGTATAAAAAATTATATTAGTAAATATAAATACTTTATAATATTTGTCTTGGAATATATTAGGAAAAAATATTTGTTCTAAATTTATTAATTTTATTTATACTATTAATAAAATAGTTAGGATTAAAAAATATATAAAGAAGTATAATAACTATTGTTTAAGAAATTAATTAAATAAATATATTTGATATTCTATATATCTTTAATTTATAAAAATAGATTCCATCAATAAAAAGTATTTTATAAGTTTCAGAAAATTAAATTTGAGAAATATCCAATTTGCTTCAATTATATTGGTAAGTGATATTATAAATATATTTATAAAGATTTGTTAAGTAAGAAATTTCTATCATACAAAATTAAGTTTTTAGATAGCATATAATTAGATAGATATTTTAAAGAGCTAAAATTAACATTCAAATTTTATAACATTCAATATTTTAACATTGTTTCAAAATATTTTTATCTCAATAACAAAATTAACTTAGATTTATAAAGATTATATAACTAAAAAAAGTGAAATATATATAAAGATTGAGATATAAGTCTTATTGTAATACTATATAATACAGATATATTTCCTTTATATAAAAAATAAATTATAAGAGAGAAATTATTTATCATATAAAAAAAAAACTCATAAAATTATTATTTTTCAATATAAAATTTTTATTTTTACAAAACAATAATTTGGCATTATTTATTTTGATCAATATAAAAATAAAAAAGTCAAATATTATTAAGAAAATAGCTTTAAATATTGATGAATATAAAAATCCGAAAGGATTTAATTTATTAAATAATATATCTCAATAACCTTTTAAGTTATTAATTTTTGGATAAATCAGATCAGAAGAAACCAATGAAATCATTAATCTTTTATTTAAAAATAAAATATATAAATTGTTTAATAAAAAAATATATATATATACGATATATTAAAAATAATAATTTAATTTTGATTGGTTATTAAATTAATAAGTTCAAGTATAAATATCTCTGAGATTGCTATAAAATAATTGCAAATAGTCTCAAATTATATCATAAAGATATTATATTTCAAGCAATAAGATCTAATAAAATTTAAAAAGTTGATAATTTCTCTCTTGAAAGAGAAATAATAGTTATATTTGAAGATATATACTGTATATAGAACCTAAAAAAATATAAAATAAAATATCATGTTATTTTACCAAGAGAAAGTGTAAAAATATCGGTTGATATATGTAACACAAAGTTTTTTTGATTTCCTGAAGTTAAAAAAGAAACAATCTTGATCATATTGTACTCTTTGAAGATTTGGAAACATATGATGAGCTAATAAATATTGTCTAATGATATATAAAAAACTGGTGTAATGTTATTGATATACTTGATAAAAATTTACAGAGTTGAAAATTTATTATGATTGACTGGATTAGGACAAAAGAAGATCCTCTATATATTTATCAGAAAAGATTGGGACCAAGCACTTGATCTTTCTAATAAGTAGAGTGTGATTTATAATGATGAGATAATAACTATTTTTTTTTGTTATTTATTAATACAGTAATATACAGTAAGTACATCCTACTTGCCACTTTTATTAAGAAGCTGTTCATATCCAGCCATGATTGAAATTGGGGTGGATGTTTTCAATATCTTATTCGCTACTATTCTCGAATGAAATAGCTACCAGTATCCAGCCTGATTGAAGTTGGAATAGATGTTGAAAAATAAATAAATTCTGCAGTTTATTTGTACTGAAGGGGTTTTTTGTGTTAGGTAAAATGATTGCATATAAAAATCGAGAAAAAAGAATAGCTATTAATCATCACGAAATAACAGTGAATAAAAGTCTAAAGTACTAGCCCTCAAAGAATACTTTAGATGATTTTATTTTAAAGATACAGTATATATATATATATATATACAGTATATATATACGTATATGAATAAGTTATATGAATAATAAATAGATGTGTATACTAGATAAGCTACACATTGTTAACTTGACGCAACCATCCGTAATAATTGATAATGTTGAGTTAATTCTTTGGCCATCATACCATCAGGGTGGTACATATATTCGAGCCATTTTTGTGCTGATATTTACAGCTCGAATCTTTTTTACTGTTTCTCGAATATGTTTAACTCCATCAATAAGATTTTCTATATGTAATTCATATCGATGAAAGCTAACCTAGTATAAATATCACGCTCAGCTTCTGGTTAGTTGGGTCCTCTGAGGATATTATTGATCTTACAAATATTTCCCATTCTGTTGATCAGAACTTTGATGAAACACTTTTTTTGTTTAAGCTCCATATACTCTTTAAAACTTAAATCACAATATCTATTTTCGATACAATTTGTACGCCAATGGTTCTCCATCTTATATCTGTGATATAATACATATCCTACTCTTTTACTGACATAAACAAATTGATTACAGTTATAACATATTTGATGTGTTCACTTCAACAGCATGACCAAGATCACCTTCCCATGAATACTTCATCTTTCTAGCAACAATATACCGTTTCATAACTATCAATCAGACGATCATTTTTTATAGTTCGTTAACTGATCCCAAATTCGGTTCTTCCAATCAGATGGTGTTTCTCCATCACGAATTACTGGAAATTGACAGTTATCCATCCACTCGGTATCGTTTAAAAATGGACATTTCTATTTTCGAAAAATTAATTATAAGGAGTTTTGATTAATGTTAACTGTCAACATAAGAATACTTACAAATGTGTTAGTATATGCTGGGCAATATCGTGCGCTTCGTGATAAAAAGAATCAAATCTCCCAGTAACACAGGATTTGCGAACAATTATTGGAATATTGGTTCGAGTACAGGTTTCTTCCGTGAATTGGTTGATATTCCGTAAATTCCGGAGTAGGTTTCCAAATTTTTTTTCTGGAGGACCCCTTCAAGCCAAGAAATTTGATCCTTATTCAAGGACTTTTTAATCTGTTTGTGCGTCTCATCGTCTGATAAATCTAAAATCCCGTTAAAGTTTATCGATAATAAACAGTCTTTCCCAAATTGCGTTTCTCGTTTTTGTTGTGCAGTTAAGACTGCAAGTAACTTATTACGAATGTTCGTCTCCTCCTGGAAGATTAAGTATTAGTGAACAAATTATTTATTATACATAAAAAGTAGTAAATGCCAAAATACCTCCCGTAAGGTCTCAGATCTCTTCATCATTGCAACATCACATCACTCTCCTTCTTATCGCTCACTACGGAATTATCAGAATTATCGGAATTTCCCTACTGCTTATTATAAAGTAATGAGCTCAATGGACAAGGCGTAAATAAATATTTGTACTATGCGTTCTTACCTGGGTAATTTGAGACGTTTTTCTGCACTTACTTCGAGTTCAGGTTTCCGCTTCAGTGAGCTTAAAATTATACTCGCTCTTTCAGTGCTTGCGGTATCTAATGGAGCTAAGGCCTCTATTTCTGTATTATTACGGACTGAATCCTAGAGTTGGCGGAAACATATTAGGACACGTAACATATATTATTGATATGAGATAACACACACCGCCATGTTTTCCACCTCCCGTTTTCCACGTAAACTCACTTTTTTCTTTCAATATTGTCCCAAAAAGTATCTACAGATGATAACTTCTTTGAAAAATAAGATGATAAGTGAAATCATTAATGGACTATGCAGAACTTAAAGACTTGACTTAGAGCAGTCGGGTTCATACGATGGGACGGAACCACCATCACCTTAGGCGGGGACAGAACCCTCCTTGGCTAGTATGAAGGTAACGGAAATTGCACGATGGGACGGAACCACCATCACCTCAGGCGGGACAGAACCCTCCTTTGGCTGTGCAATACTGTCCCGATGTTTAAAAAATAAATTACCTTTTCTTTCAAACGCCTTGCTGTGTTTTTATGCTGTTCGTTATATGCGTCATCGTCTATGATCTTTTCTAAACGTTTAGCGAATCTTTTCCTCCAGGTGCATCTTTTGTGACATCAATAATAAGGTACGGCCATTCTTGAACGGGTGTTTCGTCAAAGTACGTAGTCCCTAATTGCTTTATTGCGATTAACGTAAACAGTCTTCACGTGATTAATCTGCCAATCATTTTACTATCGATCATTAATTCTACGATAATAGAAAGCTTCATATTATGCAAGTGCCAGGTGTCACGCGCGGCGAAACCATTTCATTTTTAGCACAATGAGTTTATTCATGTTGCTCGCAATGGAATTGCGGTAGTATTTTCTTATAAAATTGTATTGACACGATTGGACCAAAAACTTATGAAATTTCATAAGGGATTACAATGTAAGTTTCTGGATCAAAGTATCATAATTTTTTACAAGGGGAAATTTTATAAAGGGATGGTTCTTGGTTCCCCGCTTTACGGTATTTTATCACTTTCTATTCACAAACTTTATACTTTGCAAGAAATAAATTTATTCAAAATGACCATTACATGAACCGGCAATATTCTACGTATACATCGCTACTTACTTATGTACACAGCACACGACTCAACACGACTAAAAACAACAACTTATTATCATTCTTTTTCTCCCTAATTGAGATATTCAATTTAAAAATTCGTTTACGGTCAAAATATTCAAATGCGAATTAATAATGGATGCAAGGGATTCCACTCAGAATTCAATTAAGAATAAAAAATTTAGATATTGATAACCAAACCACCTCCGTGTTTCTCTACACATTCAGTTCCAAACCTTTTACACAATGACTTCATTTTATTAATGAGCCATTCGTATTCGAATGCACTTTCCTTCATCAAATTTGCCTGCAAATGCCAAATTTTTGTTGGATGCAAGTCAACCTTCGTGAATTTAATTGATTTTTTTTCAGATGGTTCTTGTGAGGCTTTAGACTGTGCCGAAACTGGTGTTACCAATAAGTGAAGTGTGTAAATGAATCCCAAGTTGTTTCGATATTCTACGAAATAACGTACAGCAGTCTCATTAAAAAATCAAAGTTCAAATGATGTCATGCTTATTGTGCTTACCGCGAGTTAAATCATAATCATCCACGAAATCTGCAACATAAAAGTTAATTGCGTGAAACAATTACAAATTACTTTATGCACAGACGATGAGGATGTTTGAATTCCATTTCAAATACCAAGTCAAAACTTTAATGAACTTACCACCACACCCGTAAATTATCGGTTTACCTTTGTAGATTTCAATCCCTTGGATGTGATGACTTGAATGTCCATGAATCACATCAGCTCCCTTCACGAAATGTATATGAAACAATATATTATATTACACGCTCCGGTTCTGTCATGCAAAAAATGAAGAATGAAAAAATTGCTTACAGCATCAATTAAACCTCTGGCGAATGTTATGGTAGAGTCATCGGGATTCCATTCATAATTTGGTCCCCAATGCAATGAGACAACTATCAAATCAACATGTTCACGATATTTTTGTATTTGACTTTGAAATTCCTCTAAATCTTTCAAAGAAGTTTTATTAATATAATAAAAGCCCGCGTGTTCATTTGGAGGTCGAAGACCCTATTACGTACGCATATAATTTAGTAAAACGTCATAAGAAATTCACGATTGCATCGTTTTACGTACGGGAATTGGAGTATGGCATCTCACAGAATTTTTATAACACGAAGACCATTCTTCTGGATGATCTGAAGCAGAGAAACAAGCAATTTGTAACGTAGTTTCTAAATAATAAGAATAATAATAAATAAATAAATAAATAAATATATATATATATACTGTATACTGTATATTGAATTTAGTCAAGAAAAAAATTCTTTATACAGTAATATATATATATATATATATATATATATACAGTATATTACTGTACGTATAGGACATACTGTACCATCTCTAGAGGAAATATTGACGACACAAGGGGTCATCGCATCTTGCTTAAAATCACCCACACCAGAATAATTGATTTGGTTATCATTTAATGTTTTAATGGTTTCTCTGTATCCTTCATAACAATAATCAAGTATGTGATTATTTGCCAAATTGAAGTATAACGGAAGAGATTTTGTTATGTGCGGAAGGTTTGTCGATAAGAATGAAGGTGTGAGAGGAAGTGTTCTTGATGATTCTGGCGTTAAATTGGTTAGGGATTCAATGTTCTATAACGAAAATTTGGATGCTAAGATTTCAGATTCTTAGATTATCCATTCCATTACCGAGATACTGTATCTAATTACCTCAGGGAAGAAACGAAAATTGAACTTTTTGGGCCATCTTTCATATGTTGTCGTGATTGACTGAACAAAAAATAATTTAAAGAATTTTATTAACAAAATCTCGAAAGATATGAAATAATATTTTCACTTACGCTTTCAAGATTTCCTACAATATACCAAAAGAATATTAAGTAAGCAGAATTTTTATTAACGTACTACGCCACAAATTCTGTAAAATGGTTTTTACCAATAAAGAAATCTGCATCTTTCTTCAAAACATTCAAAGTATTACCATAAGGATACTTAAACCTCCTTATAAAAAAAAAAAAAATTATTGCAAATAGATCCTCAATTAACAGGTAATTTTTTAATACTTACTTGCTCTCAGTTGATGGGCTAAATACAATTTCATTAATAAATCGACCTAACATTAAATCGCCAATTAACGTAATTGAAAAATTTCCTGGAGTCGTCATTTTCTTTTTTCAATAAAATTAACGATCTAGAAAAAATAAATTTGATAAATTGGTACGAAAAGAAACCAATTTTTTGCTTTTACGGGATTTGAATAGATCAATCAATCAATTACATCATCATTAGGTAAATAAACTCTATTATTTATATACAGTAAATGATTAAAAAGGATCCAGCTTATTGGCCATACGAACCATTATTTCTCTTTTGAATATTTTCTCTGAAATAACAAACAATAAACATTTAGAAATTACAGTATATGTAAATGTTCTGTATTACCAAGGAATCTTGATCCCTTTTCTTGTTACCTCTTTTTTTTATCAATCAATGGACCATTAAAAAAACCCTTTCATCATATAAGTCCGAGCCCGATTCTAAAGCATATGTCTTTATTGCCTCGAAATATTCATTAACTAATTGACAATTCTGAATTGGTGGTGTGAATTGGAGAGTGATCCACCCAATTGTCGCATACTAACAATTTACGTACAAGGTGACTATCCATCGTCATAGTAGGTTTGTTACAGTATACTGTATATGCCTTTTCTCTGATTATCCCGAGTCTATGTAAGAGCTCGCTCCTCAATCTTTCCCATTGCGATTCTAAAGCATATGTCTTTATTGCCTCGAAATATTCATTAACTAATTGACAATTCTGAATTGGTGGTGTGGATTGAAGAGTGATCCACCCAATTGCCGCATACTAACAATTTACGTACAAGGTGACTATCCATCGTCATAGTAGATTAGTTACAGTATACTGTATATGCCTTTTCTCTGATTATCCCGAGTCTATGTAAGAGCTCGCTCCACAATCTTTCCCATTGACCTAAATGCTCGACGAATATCTTCCAGCATCTCGTAACTGCCTATAAGCTCCGAACCATTTCATATGATTTTAATTTGCGTACTTCGAGATAATATCCTCGGTCAATGATTCGGGAGAAATCTCATAACAATCTGCAACATGATGCCGTTCTAAAGAGAGTATCTCTTCCAAGTCTTCTTCGGATATTAATTCAGCAGCCTCACGATTAACCATAATAGCATTAGTTATTTTTTATCTCTCCTCTGCTTTAACGGTAGCGAATTCATTTCCCAACTTGTGATAGCGATATAACACTTTCATCGGACTTAGGAATAGATTCTATTGTTGAAATAATTATATGTACCTGCCCTTCCGAGAAAACAACAAATAAATACCGGGAACGGAATTTCTTCAGCGTATATGCTACCAATAATCGAACAGTTGGTACGTCCTTATTCCTGAGATAAAGTCTATATTTGGAAATATTTGTCTATTCTGGAGTTCTCGGGGGGGACATTCACGTTGGGAATTCAACAACCATCGAAATAACCTTTCGTCTGTAATGGGTGCACCGAATGCGGAATAAAATCTGATGTGTTTGTTTCTATATACTGTTCAGGAATCGGTGGAATGCTCACCCAAACTTAGGATTGTTACGTAATACTCCTATTTTTTAAAATGCTGGTATGGTTTATTTTATTCCGATTCTTCTACGTTGCCATACCCTTTCTCAGGATCAGATTTACTATGATATTCCTTGGTCCGAAATGATCTTTTGCCTGAGCAATTATAGGCACTATTTCATCAAGCCACAAGTCATATTGGATTGCATTTTTTTTACCCCATTTACAATTATCGATAATGCGAGAGCGAAATATTGTTCTCGAGGTCGTACTTAGAGGCTAAAGCTCTTTGAGAATTGAAAGCTATTGATGAATGAGTCAATATGAGATTTAACCATAATGCAATTGCTCTATATAACTCTATCATGAACTCTCTATCTGACACACCACTCTCTTGCGATCAGGTATATTTACAGAAACGTAAATGGTCTCACATACCTAACCTCATGTGTTTCTGCCACTGTAAGGGTTTCATTATATTTGATCCAATATGACACTTTACAAAAGCTCTTGAGAAACATGGGCATTTTATCTTGCGAATGCTAGGCAACGAATACAGATTTTATTTTCTTGCTGAATTTTTTCTGCAATAGATGTCAAAACCCTTTCCCGGTTCATCACCATTTTGCCGAAAACATTTTCCAATGAATACACCACAGTGGAAATAACATAATTCTGTTATTTCCACTTAGTTTATGTATGCGGGCCTATATCATAATTCTGGTCACATTCGAAAGTGGTGTGATTCAAATTTTGACCACGTTGATGTGATCGAAATAAAAAAAAAAAAATGGTCACACGGGAGGAGGCACGAAATGCCAATATCGTAATGCGATTTGAGCATCATTAGGAAAGCAAAAAAAAAGCAATTGTGTAAATATCATAAATATATGTCATCTAATTGTGTTATAGAGTATGT